AGGGGGGAAGGGGGGAAGGGGGGAAAGGGGGGAAGGGGACTCGACAGCCGACCGTAAATAAAAAATACAGAACTGCGAACCTCCAAAGAGGTGGAAAGAAGGGAGGAAGAGATGAAAAAAGAGGAACCGCATCGCTCCATCGCCACAAAGAAAAACCCAAGAACAAAAATTCACCCACTCGGAACAACTCACCAACCGCAACCAACAACTACCTAACCAACAACTACCAAACAACCTATACCGCCTACCTCCTTGAACGAGGCACTGGCGAGTCCCAACAGAAAGGCTGCATCGCGGTTGCCCGGATCGGTGGAGGCCAGGTAGTCGTTGTGCGTGAGGGGGACGGGTTTGGGGAGCGACATGAAGGCTGCGAACCTCTGCTCGAAGCGCTGTTCGGCGGTGTTGAAGGGCGGCGGGGTGCGGTTGGCTCCCGGCAGCGAGCCTGGGGAGCGGTGCGGGGAGAGGGAGAAGGAAAGCTGAGGAGAGGAGAGGAGAGGAGAGGAGAGGAGAAAAGGGGGGGACGTTGCGTGTGTGTGTGCGTGTGTGTATGTGTGTGTGTGTGTATGCCGGGGAGGAGGGGGAGAAGAACTGGGGGCGAGTCAGGGAACAGCCGTTGGGAGACGTGATGAGGAGACGTCCCTGGCAACGCAATGACTGAGGTAGTCGGCACACCATGTCACGTGCAGACATACATACTACTACTAGGGTTTGGCACTACTGGTAAGGCGCGACCATTGCCCCCGTGGGAGATCCCGGGATCGATACCCGTTAGGGTCAAAAGTCCTTCCGATGGTGGAAGGTATTGCGCCCCTAGTTGATGGACGGTGGTGACCTGGGATAAAGTTAACCTGCGAGCCGACCAGGAATGGAGTTGGGCTGCAGTCGACCCGGCAGATTCCGTTGGATGCTGGTGGTGGGTGTGGAACCTGAGCGATCCACTGAGAAGTTGACTAGGGTGAGTGGATGAGGGTGCCCCGAAATACCGGGGAAGGCAGGGTTTCGCAGGGTAGCTGCCACGGGCGAAGATACACCCCCCTGTTTCACACATCATACATACTCCGATTTTGCACATACACGCGTACATCCCATATATACACACATAGGAATGCATGCACACAATTGTAAAACACAAGCGGCACGCGGAGGGGCCTCAGCCGCCCCAACGGAAGCGACCGACCGATCAATCCCTCCAACTTCGAGCTCCCACACCACCACCACCACCACCACCAGCCGCCCTTGACGCCTCCTTCCGCTTCCAAAATGCGCTTCCTGCACCCCCGCCTTCACCCGTAGATCATATTCCCCCCT